TACCGGCTTGTACTCAGCTCGAAAGCAGGCTCCCCGCATACGCTCCAGGCTGGCTGTGTTAACTCCGCGCAAGCTAGACAGAAAAGCGCCCATCGCGCAAGCGTTCCGCTTTGCTTTCATGGACCCCTCCTGGTTTTCAGGATCAGGGCGGTAGAGTGCCACTTGAAGCTAAGAGCAGGCGTGCAGCTCCTCAGGAGGGCCGATAGGGATGACATACTAGGCCAGAGTCCTGCAGCCAAGGGGCCCTCGCAAGCAGGGCCGCAGTCATGGTTAGTAAGACCCACAGAAGCCACGATGTTCGTCATACCACAGAGCCACGCGGTTCTAGGAAAGGTAGCAAGGGGTTGGACGATGGCATATCGTTTTTCATTTCACTTTAGCATGGAATGTTGCAGGTGTGACCTAAGGCTGGTTACCTGGTTTATACTAAAAAATATTACACGAAAACCTTGATCGACCCAATCCATGATCGGTGGCAGAGAGATCAGTGTTTACAGGCACATCTAGTGACAATCTCAGCATATGGAAGATCGGATGTGAAATGTTTGAGGAGGGAATGGTAAGGACTGTGAATTAAGAAATAGGATGGAAGGACGGTGTGTCTGTGAGTCTAAGAGAAAGGGGAAGGACTAATAGGTCTTCATGAAAGTGATCTGATCTTGTGGAGTGGAGTTGGCATGCAAGGAAGTGGAAGGTCTACATTTAATTATAAGCAAAAGGGCTAAAATATGTTGTTAAAAAGAAGAAATTGGTGTCATCTGTGGCTGATGTATAGGAAAGTAGGACTCTTAGGCTGGTGATAGGTACATGTTATGCTTCCATTAGTGATAATGGAAAAAACACAGATTGCTTTTGGGGAAAAATGATGCAAGATTTGGATGAATACAAATTATTTTGTAGTGGTTAAAGGTATCAGACTAGAAACTGGGAGACTGTGAGTTCTAGTCCTGCCTTAGGCATGAAACCAGCTTGGTAACTTTGGGCCAGCCATTCTCTCTCAGCCCCCGGAAGAAGTTAATGGCAAACCACTTCCGAAAAACCTTGCCAAGAAAACTGCAGAGACATGTCCAGACAGGTGCCAGGAGTCAACACGGATTCAAAGGCACAAAAACAAAACAACACCCCCCCCAAAAAAGATGAATGGATCAAGACAAGTAAATACAGAAAATCTGATTGGGCCATTAGAGAAACAAGAATGACTTAATGGTGACTGGTGAGTATCTTAGAAAAGGCCTGTTGGTTTCAAATACTGTACATGCATATATTCATACATATATATAGAAGAGGAATGAATCAAAAAGCATCTTTGATTTGGTTATTTATGATGAAAGATTGAAAGAATTAGCAAAGGATGCAAGAGTGATGAGAGGTTCTGAATATGGGAGTTGATCCCAGCACATCTTTAGAATAGCAGTTGGCAAAAGTTATCCTGGAGCTGAAGTGACTTCCCCAATTCTTCAAAGTGCTGGAAGACCAATCCTGAAATCCAGGAGAAAATGAGGAGGATAAAATTATAAGATTGGGGTCTTTGCCTGACTTATTATTTAAACTGGCTAAGAAGCACAAAGAGCATTATGGGTAGCCTCTTTTTCTGCTGATTAATGTTGCATTTTTAAAAATTCTGCTTCGTGAAATAATTTAAAATAAATGTAGGCTTTTGTTCAACTTGCTTTTCTAGCTTATTACACAATTATGTTTAATTCTTGGAGAAGAATGGACTATTACCTTTTCTATGCTAGTATAAAATATTGAAGACATTATGGCTTTTCTATGTTGCTTTTCATTTTTCTTCTGTAATTTATATATATTACCTTTCTTGCTAATATCTTGTTGTGATGAAGAGCTTGTTCCTTCTCTGTCTTTGACAGAGGCTATATTGCCACTCCATCATACTTCTCAAACATACCATGAGGATCTCTGCTTATATTTCACTATGAGATGTGAATGCAGGCTGAAATTGATTTAGTTCTATAGAGGATATCTGTGGTGTGTAATTTATAGCAGATCTTGCCTACAATCCACCTGTCTGTAAATCTTCATTTGCCCCCTTTCCAGAAAAAGGTCCATAATTCAGAAACTTTTGCTTTCTATATTATATCAACATTTGGCAAAGATGGATAGATACCTACAGAAGAACTATGATTATTCATGTCAACTATGATAATAAAGTATTACATTTGCCAGAGTGTTTCACAAAAAATTGAATTTGTAAGTTCTGAAGCATTCCCCAATACAAATCTTTATCTGTATATATAAAATATAATCCACATATACTGTGCATAGTATAGAAAAAAATATTCTACACTGTTGCTGTACGTTCTCACAATTTCAACAAGACTGAACATTAATAGTAGAAAACCTTAGGATCAAAGTGCACCTCAGAAACAAATGCATGTAAATTCTTTAAAATGGAAAGTGTCTCAGAAAACTGGAGGGCCAGAATGATAAATACTTCCATTAGAGATGGTAAGGCTCCTGCAGTTTTGAAAAAAAGTACCAGTGAGGTCTCTGCTGAAGAAAATGTTGAGATGCTGTGGTTTCAGATAACTACTCAAATTTGCCATTTGAAGGCAAGGTGTGACAACCTCTCAGCTCCAGGCATTTCTTGATGAGATAATTTAGATAGATTCCAGTAGGCTTCAGGACTGGTTATTATAGGATGGAAACACCCTTTGGTGCTCTGATAGATGACTTTCACTGGGGAATGGATGAGGTAGGAGCAGCAACTCTATCCTCTGCCTCTCAGCATCTTTTAGTATCATCAGGAATAGTATCCTTCTGGACTACTTGACTAGGTTTAGATCCTCTGAATTTTACAGTCCTCAGAAATGGTTTGAGAAGATACACTGCGTGCACAATTATTAGGCAAGTTGTATTGTTGAGGATGAATTTCATTATTGAACAACTACAGCGCTCTCGGTCAGTCCAAAATATTAATAAACCTCAAACCTGAATATTTAAGAAAGTAAAAGTGAGGTTTTGGCT